GGCGAAGAGACGCTGCCGAGGAATAGAAGTGGGACTTGGAAAACCGGCCTCTTGCCACCTCCTTCTCTGGGGAAGCAGCAACAGCAACAGTCGCCCCCAAACGTCAGCAGGGGCCAGGAGCCGTTTTGGGGTGCTAAGAAAGCAGCAGGCAGCGTTTCCGACAACATGGGGAGGTTAGGGAGAAGGGAGAGCACCGCAGCTTATTATTAACTTGGCCTCGCAGCTCACAGGGTGACAAGCTGAAGGCTTTAATAGCTGTTCAAGGCAGGACTTGGTGACAAAAACCCGAGTGGGGATAACAAATGTTGGAGAGGAGGAGAAAAAGAGAGAGAACGAGGGGGAAGAAAAAAAAAAACCCTCAACAACGAAAATAATCCCAAAACGCATTGTGCACAACACCCAGCGGAGATTTCTAAAACGAGCTCATGCGAATCTATTTTAATCTCGCTTTTGACAAGCGAGCGGGTGTAACGGAGAAGGGAGCACGCAGGGATCGTACTCAGGACGGGGGGCTTCAGCAAGGCGCCTAAGGCAGCGGGACAAGCCGGGGACGCAATCCCAAGCCAGCAGAGGTGGGAACAGGGCACCTGCCAACTGTCATAGGGATCGGCAGAGCATTGGCCTTCGAAATGACGTCCGCCGGCTTTCTCCCTTGGTCGGACTCTGGCGCAAGGCGCAAGCGTGCCAAAGGGCGAGATGAAAAATATGCCGATGCTCAGCCCAGCCAGCGGCAGGGTGAATCTCATTAAGCAGGACACGTGGGCAGCACGGAGAGGAGGAGGAGAAAGGCAGAGCGGTCCCCAGAAGAGGGGAGGCGCTGAGGGCTACGTGGACGATGGGGAGATGCCTGGCGAGGAGGAGAAATCGATAGGGACACCAGATAGGAGAGGGAAAGCAGAGCCAGGAGGGGTTAAAAGGCAAATTAACCTCAGCTGCTCGTTAAGAGCCGGGGGGAGAACGCAGGCCAGTGAAGCCAGCAAAATGCGCCTGTAACGACCACCCAAAGGGCGCACGGATCCTGATGACTCTCGATGCATCCGGCAGCAGCTTATGGGACCCGACGGTCTCCGTGAAAATGCTGCACGTGGTCAGCATACCCGCAGCAAGGAGAGACTTTCGCAAGGGACAAGACCAAGCAGGAGAGATTTTGCTCCATGGAGTATCAGTGCACGGACTGGGCTTGGCTTGAAGGGACTCTCTTGTTTAAAGGACCAAGAAACTCGAGCGCTCACAGGTTTTTCTCCAGGGCTGGAGCCTCTGAGGTGCCCCAAGCAGCGACACTTCCCAAGAAGGTCGGGATCTCCTTGGGTGACTCCACCGCTGGCACTTTGCGAGTCCGATCTTGGCCACAGCCCCGACTCTGCTGGGAGATGTCGTCTTCTTGGTCCCAGGTGAGAGAAGTTGGCACCTTGCTGCAGCCCGTGGGAAGGGGAAACTCCCGACCGCCACGCTGGGAGTTCACCGGGAGCTGCGTACCACGCAGAGGTGCAAATTCTGGGAGGGGAAGGGCCCGTACGCCCTCGTCCGCCACAGTTCCTGCTGCTATAACCGAACCTGAATGGCTCACGTACGAATCCCCTCCCAAGAGCTGAAGTGAAGCGACTCATTAACAAACGGTTGGATGTCTGTTGATGAATGAATCGAAAGGAACCGCAAACCACTTTCGGCTACTCTGCGCATGGGAAAAGGAGACGCTCTCGGGTGAGAATTACTCACTCTGCTCCAGTTACCTTACAATTCTTCAAGCGAAATTTCATCCCACCATCAATATGTTGGCAGCCAGCTGGAGATCCTCACAACCCTGCGCTCGTGCTAATTTGAGGCAAGAGCCAGCTCCGGTTGGAGATAACGGGACGACTCCCCTCACCGTCCGTGGACGCTCCAGAAGGCCTCGAGTCTCGCTCCACCCGCGCGCTCTTCCCATCCTCCTCCGGAGCTGGATATTTAATAAACATTGCCTCCCTTGCTGATCCTGGGAACACGCAGCCGGAATTACCATTCGCCCTGCAGAGCAGCCGCCCTTCGGGGCAGTTCCACTTGGATGGCTTTCCTCCTTCCCCAGGGTTATCTTCCTGATCAGCTAACTTTCAAGAAGCTTAAGAACGTCTGAAAAATGCAAGCTGATGACGCCATCACCTCCTGTTTCATGCCCTCTCAACGGCCTACCAGCTTTGGAGAAGCTCTTCTCTCTCGCAGTAACTTCACGCTCTTGCCATCAGGTCATTTGTCCCAGGGTATGTCCGTACTGATCTGGAGCGGCCAGGCAGCACCTGCAAAGCATCTCCGCATGCCTCCCTCAAGACTTCTGCATCCAGCAGGAAATTCCCACCTGATTTCACCCTGCAGGCGCTTGGCTTTGGGTATCCATCTGCTGCTCCATGACAACTTCAACAGGGTGGAACAGCCCTGGGGACACGGCCCACCAGACAGCAGAAATCACGCCACTCAGCCTGGCCTGCTGGCTCGCAGTACCGAGTACCCACCGGTACCGAGCGAATGGACAGCAACATCCCCTGAACCACCTCAACAGGGAAGCACATGGGCAATGGCAGACCGAGAGGGACGGAGAGTTAGGGAAACATAGTGTGGGGCACGTCTGGATCTAGCTCTAACTTGCAACTGCTCCAGTTTTCCAGCTCGAGGCGGGAGGAGCTGCGAGCAAAGGCGCAGAGACACCAGCCGGAGCAGAGGCCCCTTACCAAAACGCACTTGCCCGGCTCCAGGCTCCAGAGGGAACTCTCCGTGTTGATCTTGTGCGTGAGTTTCCCTTCCATGAGGACGCGCTGGCTGCCGCCCTCCAGCACCGCTACGCGAATTGCGCCGCTGCTGATATCCACAGCCACCTGCAAACACAGAGAAGATGATCAGGAAGGTTCCTGCTCGCGTTCTCGCTGTGCTAGTCGGGGCGTGGGGTCAAGTGCACTCGCTGGGGATGAGAGAGAGAGAAGAGCTATCGGCTCTGTATGCAGTGGGAGGGTGGGGATCCCGCTGCCGTTTCAGAGCAAACAGCAAAAGCTCGGAGAAGAAAGGAAACCTCACCAGGAAACGAAAGGCAGCGGGGCGCTGGAGGAACTCAAGACAGCTGGTTCGGCCACAGCGCCTTCCCCGTGCCTCAGTTTCCCCACGGGGAGAGCCGGCAATGCTCAGAGGTGGGGGACCCGCTTGCTGCGACAGAGCTGCCACATGTGCCGCG